CCGACCGACCGACCGACCGACCGACCGACCGACCGACCGACCGACCGCCCGGCCGGCCGGCCGGCCGGCGGGCGGGCGGGCGGGCGGGCGGGCGGGCTGGCAGGCAGGCCGGCAAACTAGCAAGGAGGGAGGGAGGGAGACAAACAAACAGCGAGACAAAGAAAATACAATTAAATACACACAAAAATGCCTACACATATATACTTCTATACATCCATACGACACGTAATCACAAATATGATATACACATAGATAACCGTAGATACATGTATATACCATACCATACCATTGCATTACAGTACATTACACTATTACACTACATTGCACACATACATACAGATACAAAACGTATCTCTATATGTATGTATACATATTTGATAAGCTTGTGCGTGTGAAAGCACTGGAATTGCAGTGTGTTGTACTGATTGTGAGAAAGTCCATTTTGGACCTGTACTCAGAGCACATTTGGGAAGCCACATACCTTGCAAGGCCTTGCAAGGTCCCCAATCTTCAAAACCCACCCTTGCAAATCCTTTCAAGGTTTGTGGGTTCCCAAATACTCCATGGTAAAGATGTAAAATATGTGCTTAATTCCAATAATATGTGCGCTTTCATTTAGTTGCGTCATCAAATGGTAAATCCTCTGACTCCGGTTTAGCAATTTTCCTTTTTGGCTGCTACGATGTTCTTTTCCTCAGCTTGGATCTCCTTTCATGAAGATCGAATCCAGAAAGTGCTTCATGAATTAAACACCACGCAATAAAGAAAGGAAAGCACGTGCATACATGGAACGAACAGTGTGGTGAGGACAAAAGGAAACAGGCAACCGAGGGAATATACGGTGCAGCAAGTGCAGGATAGAGAATAGCCGCGAAAATACCGACACCCCAATCGTTAGTCCGACATAAGTTCGCCGCAGATGGCGCGACAAACAAGCCAATCCTTGTGTTTCACCTTTTTCGCACATTTTGAGCCAGTCTCTGAGATTCCGAAAGTAAGCAGCTCCGTGCTTACCCTGTGGAACTAACCCCGAAGTTTCAAAGGTTTGAGGAGTCCAAAGGATTTAAGGGATTGACTTATTGACTTCATGCAACCGGCAAAGCACACTGACCCTGCATTGTTTCAATCAAGTTGAGGTTGAAGTGAAGTTGTGCAGGATAAAAGCAAATTTGCTGAAGGCATTCACTGTTTGATTTTTTTGGCCATATAACATGCATTGTTGACATTTTAGCATGATAGCAAAGTGCTAACTTCAAGGAAAGGCACATTGCAGAAGTAGTTTAATTCTTGGGCAACTCCTCACTCTGCGCCAGAGAACCAAGACTTTCTTCCAAGTAAATCTGGAAAGCCAAGTTCGAGCAAGCAAGAGCACTTTAAACAAGTAGCGTAAGACAAATTGCAGCAAGTCCATTTATGAAGAGAAGGTGCAGTCGTATATATATATATATACACACACATCATATGTCATCTCTCCTTGTACCACACGAACACACGAATAGTAGGTACGTTGGGAGGATGTAAATGTGTGTATATATAGACATACATAGCATATCATATTTATATATATATACATATACATTTGTACATTTGTACATACACACTACATATACATATATACATGCTTGTCGGCAGGGCCCTTTGCATAGAAGAATCCTATGAAGCCTGTTTCTAGTACCATGCACTGCGGTTAACGAAACGAATTTGCCGGCAGTTGATGATCAGATGTCGGCAAGATGACTAATTCAATGCTTGCATCACGTCAAGCAGGAAAGCCTGTGAATTAAGCAGCATGTTCCACTTCAAAGAAAGTCCCAAGACCTTCTCTCACCAAGCTGCTATGTCTGTACATTCAATTGCTACA